AAAAATATACTTACACATTTACATACCTCGGGTCTCTAGCGACCCTATACACTTTTTACAAAAAAATAATCAGAAAACAGGCATTCTTTTATATTTTACTATTTTTTTTTGTTATATTTTTTATAATGAATAGATTTAGGAATACTAAGAAAGTTGATGTCTAACTTTAAAAAATGAAGGAGGGAGAGGGTAGAGAATGATGTCCCGGGTCGCAAAAGACCCGAGGTATGCATTTAAGGGTTAAAGGGTACACTACTATGAACTACAGCTTCAGTGTGACATCAATAAGAAAAAGTATAATTTCATAGATATTGTTAATAATAGTTGTTCATAATAAAATATGTATGAACTTAATACATGACCTAGATTATTTATTTTTCGAAATCTTGTAATTTTAATAAATATTACATGAAATTTATTAAAAATTGTTGTTGCTCCAGTTAAGCTCAGTGTGCTCTCTTTAAGCTCTTCCACATTGAACGTCTATGTAAATATGTCATAAACAGACTTTACATATAAACTGATGGTTGTCACTTTAAGTTAAGTTATTTGATTTTCTATGGATTCTGTCAGCTCAAATCTACAGACTGGCTCTGACCTTTGGCAACTATAGCATCAACTTCTCCAGACTGTAAATCGGTGGAAAATCAAGGGGAAAAAATAGTGTAGTGTATTCCAGCCTTAAGAGACTATATACAAGTTGACATCCATTTAATAAGAGGCTTCATAATGATCCTAGTTTCTGTGCTCATCCCCGTGAATGAAATGTTTTATTGGTTTGTTTTATTTGATTTTTGAATATGTGTTACTTAGTTGAATGTGGACTAGTATAGATGTTGCAATGTGCTTAAATGGCATTTCAATATGGATATATAACTGATCAAATTGAGTGCCTTGTTGCTTGATTTTAGTCTGTTTTTTGTGATTGACTTTGTACCTTCAAAAATTTATTTTTCAATTATTCTTTAAAAAGGTTGTTTAAAATATAAAAAAAAAAATATATATTTTTTTAAATAAAACATGATGTGAGCTTAATGGGAACAGGGGTGTGCTTAAAGGGTACAAAAATGTACCCATTAAGCACAGAGCTTAATAGGTACGTTTACCCTATTTTCTCAGAAAACAAATTTTCTTAACCCATGTCATTTTGTGTCTTAAGTAAATATATGTTGATTTATGAATCTTTAGACATTTTCACTGAAAAACAAACATACTCAGGAAGAATCACTTTTTTTGCAGTGTGATCATAGGCACAGTAAAAGTTATTTCCATATTCTTTACTTGGTCTGAAAAGTCTTAAGCTTGCCTTCATAAAACCTGTAGAAACCCTATAAATACATCTCATATGTAATCTCTTCTAAGTAGTGGTCGACCGATATTGTTTTTTTGACAGCCGATGCCGATATCTTGGAAAGCAGGGTAGCCGATATAATTGTATTTATTTTAATTAATATTTAAGAAATTTGAAATCTTTGAAAATAGATTAAAAATACATTTGTAAAATAAACATACTTATACTTTAGATGACAAAGTATTTTCCACAAATTAGGGCTGCCACTAACGACTATTTTTATTTCGATTAATCTATAGACTAATTTATCGATTAATCGATTAATCTAAATGATTAATTTACCACAAAAAAATAAAAAATGTTAAAGAACATTTTATTAAACTTGCAACTTTGCCATTCAGTAGTGTATCATAAAAAAGTATAAATGTAAACAAACCTAATAAAAATGAAATAAAAATAAAATAATTACAAAAGTCTGAGAAAGACAGCATTTACTTAATGTCAATATATCCACATGTTCTGGGCTTCTGTTCAGTACAGCTGTGAGTGCAACTACAAAGGGGAAAAAATGTTTCAATTAACCCCAACAGTTGGGTTTTCACATTAAATAAATGCAATGTTTAGAGTCCACTAGAATCAAGTATTCAAATTTTATTATTAAAAGTTATTATTATTAAAAATTAAGTATTAAAAGTAGAGCCCGACCGATATATCGTTTTGCCGATATTATCGGCCCCCGGGGTTCGGGAATTATGGGTGGTTAAATTTGCGGTCCGGCGCTGACCGATCTAGTGATCCCAGGGGGCTACCGACGCGTGGAGGGTGGCGTTCGAGAGGGCTCCTCGAGCTGAAGGGATCCCCCGAATTTGTTGGAGATCCGCTCGTGCGTTCACGAGATAGTGACACCAGTCAACACTTTCACTTCAGTAAGGACTTGTTCAGGCAGCAGCATTCAAGCGTTGTCTTATTCAACCGTAAGTGCCCTGCGAAGTGGACTTCACATGAAATTCACTCATTTTGGATAATAAAGTTTGTTAAATTGTTGAATGCCCTGCCTCCATTACGTATCTCTGTCACGTCATTATAAGTGTTTGATCACCACATTTGAGTAATCATTGCAAAAAATGTGTTTATGTATATATATTCTGTTTATGTATATACTGTATTCTATATAAAGTACCAGTCAAATGTGTGGACACACGAATGGGAAAGTGTCCAAACTTTTGACTGGTACTGTACTATAATATACACAAAGAATATCGGCCGATATATCGATATCAGCCTTTTTTTTACTCCCTAATATCGGTATTGGCCCCAAAAAACCCATATCGGTCGGGCTCTAATTAAAAGTACTCTTAGAAATGTGTAAACAACAGATTTAAACAGACATCTCCAGCATGATGAAAAAAATGAACAGAGGACTTCAGTAGTAAAACTCCAAATGAAATACAAATTTCTATGAA